CAGCTCTGCAAGCTGCTGGTGCAGCCGCATCGCGTGGGATCCTCCCCGGGGAGATGCAGTGAAGGGTGGGCTGCTGGTCCCTGGGGTTGGCCAGGGGAGAGGGGCGAAAGGGACACAGCGGGACCTCCTGGGTGGATCTCCCGCTGCATGGGGGGAGGGCTGGGGCAGCCTAAAACCTGCACCTGGATGAAACACACCTGGGTTTTACAGATAATTTGGTGGAAGAAAAATGTCTCTGCTCCAGCGAGCGTCCAGCAGACGTGTGCCCGTTGATGGGCTGGCACAGCCCTGCTGCAGCCACCCGGCTCATGCCTGCTGGTCCCAGGGGCAGCTTTGGCCCTGCTGGCTCTTCCCAAGGGACGTCTACCTCCTCGGGAGCCCTGATTTAGCAAACAGTCGGGTTTTACCCCCCTAAATCCCCTTGCCTGCCCTCCTCCAGCCCGAGCCATGCCCTGGGCTTTGCCCGACACCTCCGAGCGATGCCAGGGCAGAGGGACAGGTGACGTGCCATGGGGACACCCCAGCACAGCGTGCCCACTGGAAATGCCCATCCACAGACAGGTTTTGCGGGGGACCCTGCGCTCTGCGGGGCTGTGCCTGCTCCGGCCCCGGGACCATCGCTCCCCGTTGCTCCCCACCGCTGCCCGCAGCCGGAAGGGAACATTTGGGCTGCTGATGCTGCTCCCCTCTGGGGACAGACAGACCTGTCCCTGGGCCAGCTCTGGCCCCAAGGACAGCTCTAAGCGCCCTCTGGAGTCCTGCCACACGCGAGAGCAGGGCTGTGTATCATAACGCTTAAAAGAAGGTATTCTAATATTAATTATAAATCTAAGATGTATAAAGTTCTCACAAACTGTGTTTTACTTCCAGAAAAAAACAAACTGTCACTTTAACTTTGTAAATATTTATGTAAACGCTATTTACAAAACTTTGATATTATATATTATTTGATTGTATATGTACACAGTGTAAATACATTTGTACCTCTCTCTTGTATTCTAAATAAAAATTACTGGGAACATTTATCATTTAGAAGATGGACAGTATGGAGAGCTTTGTTTTGCTCGGTGCCGGGGGAAGGACGCGGCGGTTGGGACGGGTGAATGCACAGACCAGCACGAGGTGCGTAAGGAGACGTAGCATCGTCTGCTGGACCAAGCCGTGCAGGTGGGAGGAGGAAAGCTCAGCTCTGGGAAAACCAAGCCCTTTTGCAGGTCTGAAAGCGACGGGGCGAGGGCAGGAGTGGGTGGTGGGATTCGGTCTGGTACCTCCCTGTCTCCACGCGTACGGTCTCTGCTTGAAGCAACCCACGAAACAGCGGCCGTATTTCGGCTCGGACGGGCTGCGGGTGCCAGGCGTGCCTGACAGAACAACACTTGATGCTGGTCCGGAGGAAGCAAAGTGCTCACTGAAGGTCATTGCCGGCTTCTTTTTCCTTGGTATTTTCCCAGCGGCTCCACGAGCCTACCCGGCGGCTCCACGAGCCTACCCACTGTTGGAATTAAAAAAATAAAACTTCCACACAAACATATTATTTACCCCCTGCCCACCCAGCTGCCTTCAGCCTCCCCGTCCTTCGCGGAGCTCCAGGGCTCTGCCTTCCCCCTGGGCGCAGGGTCAGAGGGTCAGCTGTGATTCTATGGCCTCCAGAACAGGGGGGACACCTCAGGTGTGGCCCGGGGTGCCGCTTCCCTCGGCGCAGACGCGCCCCCGGCCCC